TCTGTACCTACCTACCTACAGCTACACTGGAGGCCACACATAGGAGGATCTGAGTCTGAAGCTAACCCTAGGCAAAAAATGTGAGACCCTACCTGAAAAACAGCTAAAGCAAAAAAGGACTGGAGGTCAAGTGGTAAATCACCTGCCTAAGCAAGCACAAGGCCCTGAGTTCAAACTCCAGTACCACACTAAAAAAGAGAGAGAGAGAAGGAATAGTCCAATGTGGCTAAGCCTGAGCTGGGAGAGAGTAGTAGGGAGATAAGATTAAGTAGGTAAGGAGAGCTGCAGATCCTCTAGGGTCCTACAGGCCAGGGTAAAGATTTTGACTTTTACTTAGGTAAAGAGCCATTTTTTGAGCTGAGTTGCAACATGAACTGACTTCTGTTTTTAAATGCCCCTTTCTGCTGCTGTGTTGATAGAAAACCACCGGGGTTCAAGGGTGGAAGCAGGGACCACTAAGGACACTGTTGTCGCCATCTTTCCCTTGGCAATTTTCCTTGCTGTGTTTCCTTGCCTCCATGTTTTCCTCCTGCCTTAGTTGCTCCTTCTGTAGTGCTACTTCTCCAACCTCCAGATGTAGGTGCCAACATTTGTCCCACCTCCCCCTATCTGAGACCCTTCTTGTCCCCAGCTCCATTCTCTGGGTGACCTCATGCACATCTACGGCTTTTAAGACCATCCTTTTTCCAGTGATCACAGACAGAGCTTCAGCCCTGAGCTCAAATTTGTATATCCAGTAGCTACTTGCTATCCAAACTGGAGCTCTTCATTTCTTCCCAGTCTTATCCTCCCCAGCCCCCCTTTCCACACCCCAGTAAATGGCACTGCACTTACTCAAAAAACAGAGCTATTCTTTTTCCCTTCTTTCTTTCTTCCTTTTTTTTTTTTTTCTTCTTTAGTGTACTCAGGCTTTGTGCATTTGCTAGGCAAGTGCTCTTCATCCCCAGAGTCATTCTGTTTTGGTTGATTGGTTAGTGAGTTTATTTTATTTTTTGAGACAGGATCCATGTGGCCCAGACCTCAAATTCATGATCCTCCTGCCTCTGCCTCCCAAGTACTGGAATTACAAGCCTGCACCACCACACCTGACCAGAGTCATTCTTAATGCCTTCGCTTTTCCATCTCCATATCCAGTCATTTACAAAACATGTTTGTTTACTCCTGAATTACAAGTTGTTTTTTCCAAAATGTTATGTGTAAAAAATCTCAAAAGTCCCAGTGGCTTAAACAATGAATATTTTTCTCACAAAATTGCAGGTCAGTTGGTGTTTGTCTGAGCTTGACTAGACTCAGCTGACTTAGCTGTAGGCTGCAGGATGGGTTGAGGTCTGATCCATGTATGTTGATTTGAGCTGAGGCTGAAGGACAGTAGTTAGTAGCTACCCCAGGGATGGTGTCATAGTGATGTCAGAAGCCCAAGAGGGCAAACCAATCATGTTGATACATTTTGAACTTCTACTCATAACTCTTTTCAGTGACTGAAGAAAGTCACATAGATAAGCCCTAAGTCAAGAAGTGTACTCTGTGTTTTCCACAAAGCCACAGTAAAAGAATTGGAACCAATTATTCAGTTATTCGGTCTCCTGCAACCTCCTGATGAATCACACCTCTCTCCAAACTCCCTATTGCTTTCTCTAACAACCATCATCTCTGGCTCACATCTAAAGCAAAGCCTAACACATAGTATTATGCTCAGTAAATATGTGTTAAATAAATGACTGCCAAGCGATCTCCCTGGTTAGACTCTGTCCTTTCTAATGCTTCTACACAAGGCAGGTAGAATAAGGTGGGTGTTTTTCAATGCTAGGGATTAAAAGCCAGGTGTTCCACATGCTAGGCAAGTGCTCTACCACTGAGCTACACCCCCAGCCCCACAGTGAAGTTTTGTTTTGTTTTGTTTGTTGGTACAGGGCCCAGAATGAAGTTTTGAAAACATAAATCCTATATCAGTCCCAGCATTTAAGCCCCACCCTGGCTTCCTGTGGCACTGGAATTCCATGCCATAGTCTTTATAAAGACAGTCTGTTATCTAGCCTGCACTCTCCAAGTGCATCTGGTATTGCTAACTCCACTCTAGCTACTTCCTTTTTCTTCCTCAACTGTCCTAAGTGTTTTGCAACTACAAGACCTTTGTACTTGCTCTTTCCTTCATCTGTAATGCTTTTTCTCAGGCATACCATTCTCATTCTCAGCTTCAGCTGAAATGGACCCTTGACCTTCCTGGACCACTGACCACCTCACTGTCCTCAAAGACATCCTCCCCCACTATGTTGCATCTCCATGACCTTGTTTACTTGTTGCAGTGTTTATTGCTCTTTGACATTGCCATGCTTTGTTCCTCAGAAATCTCAAGCACCTATTACAGTGTCTGGCCCCATTAAAATCCTTTGTGTGTATATATTAGAAAACATTTCTTCCACAGTTTTAGAAAAAGTCTTTCCTGCTTTCTATTTTGATCTGTTCGTTCATATATAAAATGCTGTTGTGTATATGCAAATGAAATCGGTGCAAGATGAATAAAAATCTTAGAATGTCCTTGTTAATAAAGAAGCAGTTGGAACTGAAGTTGCTTTAGAACATACTGCAGCTTCCTTGTGCCTTTGGCTATGAGGCACTAACCTGTAGGTTAAGAATCTCAGTAAGCCTTCTACCCCAGCACCTCCATCTACATAGCTCACCAGTTTCCTTTTCCCAGGCTTATCCTTGGCTAACTTGCTAGATGATTTACTTATAATTTTTAATTGTTGCCTGACTGCCAACCCTCAACCCTTACCTGCACTGTTGGAGCTTCATGAAGGCAAGGACACCATTCTGTTTTCCCTGGTACTGTATAGGGGCTCAACCAGTTGTGGAATGAATGAATGTCTCACAGGAAAGAAAGAAGTCTGGGAAGGTCCTGAACTCTCTTCCTCCAAATCTTCCAGATTAAGGTTACCCCACCTTTGCACTGTCTACATCTCAATACACTACATTCAAAACCTCCATGAGGTGTGAATGCTTAGTGGTTTGTGCATCCTCAAAATGATTTGTATATGTATATTTATAAACACATCTTTCTGTGTGCCTGCTGGTGTTTTGTGTGTGAGAACCGTTGTTCACCTCAGAGCCTGCATGTGGAGCAATTTGCCTTAATACTTGTGATATCATGGTAGGATAAAATCTGATGACACTGAGCTCCATTGTGTAGAGGCTATGTCCTCTATGAGTGAAGACTGCTTTTCCTGAAGCAAAGTCGGGCAGTCATTTAAATGATGAAAAAACTGCCACTTATATTTATCTTCAAGAGGTAGTGGAGAGCCAAGTTCTGGTGGCTCACACCTGTAATCCTAGTTACTTAGGAAGCATAGATCAGGAGGATCATGGTTCAAAGCCAACCCCAGCAAATAGTTTGGGAGACCCTATTTCAAAAAAAGCCATCACAAAAAAGGGCTGGTGGAGTGGTTCAAGGTGTAGGCCCTGAGTTCAAACTCCAGTTCTGCCAAAATAAAAAAGAATGTACTGGAGCTGGGCATTGTGGTTCATATCTGTAATACCAGCTGCTCTGGAGGCTGAGGGAGGAAGATCAAGAATTCAAGGCCAGGAATGGAGGTATGACTCAAGCCATGGAGCACCTGCTTTTGCAAGCTTGAAGCCTTGAGTTCAAAAGCTGGTTCTATCAAGAAAAAAAAAAAAGAAAAGAAAAGAAAGAGTTCAAGGCCAGCCTGGGTTACATAGTGAGACTCTGTCCCAAAAAAAAAGATTGTGGAAGAAAAGGAGCAAAGTGTAAGAACTGCAACTTTTACGCCCTTTTGGGAGAACAACCTCTCCAAAATCTTCCCAGTTAGCATCTACACTATTCACTTCATTTCCAGTTTTGCCAAGATTATGAAATTAAAATTGTCTATTCTTAGTTATTTTTTACAAGACTTATCATCCTCATGAAATCTACCCTCACCCCTAATCCCTCAACAGATTTAGCTCACTGATAGAGTTTGTGCTTAGCATGCTACAGATGCTGGATTCCATCCCAAGCATCAGAAAGAAAGAGGAGAGAGAGAGCAAGAGAGAGAGCTCGAGCGAGCAAGGAGGAAGGGAGGAGGGGGGGAGGGAGGAGGGAGAGGCAGAGGGAAGGAGGAAGGTGAGGGGAGGAGGAAGGAAAGGAAAAGAAAAGGTCAAAGAGGGGGATTTTTCTTTAGAAAGTGCAGTTATCTAAGGCTGGGGTTTAGTTCTGCAGTAGAGTGATTGCCTAGATTACACCAAGGCCCTGGGATTTGATCCTTAGACCATTAAAAAAAAAAAAAAAGTGCAGTTAACTGTGATCTTTATTCTCTTTTAATTTGAACACTCAGGCTTTTAAATTGCTTGGAGGTAGTTACATATGAATCTTCATGTAAACTTGTATCTCTCTCATTTAAAAGGAGAGATGAAGGAAAGGAATTAGCCCATTAATTATTTAAAATACTTGGTGCAAGTGTTCCTGTGAATCAATCCAGGCTCTTGGAAGACAATTACACTCAGTGTTAATGCCATTGGCAACCTTTTCCAATATGCCGCACTCCAAATGCTATTGTGTTTTCATTGACAACATTCACTGTTACATATGCATATGAAAAACAGGCATTTTCATCAGAATTACCGTAATAGCATTAAGAGATTATTATTTTTTCCAATTTCCTTGGAAGAAAATTCACTTAAATTAGATTACTTACTACTTGACTGCTCTCCTATCTTGCCTGTAAGTTTAGGTAACTGGAGTCCATGAAAGTATAAACTTCAAAATAAAAAGCATGATTTTATACATTGATGGTTTCAAATAAAGGAGGAGTGCTATGTTTGTGCATCACTTCTTTCCAGAAAGTTAAGTCTGTGTTCTGCTTAGGAGAGATAACACTTTTTGTCCCTGTAGGTGGCCCCCTGGCGTAGCCATTAGCTGCTAATTACTTGCAAACAAATAAACAATTAACTCCTCAAACTGCTGGCTGGGCAAATGTTCATTGACATGCTAAAACCTTCTAAAACAGGATTTCAATTAGTGACGTTCCAAATCCAGCCCCTTGTCAGTGAAGCTATAAGGTGAACTGCAGGAAAGTCCTAGCCCTGTACACGTGGGGCCCAGCCACACAACAGGAGTATGTCTCCCAGCCTTCAGGAAGGTGCTCAGCTTGGGGAACGAAAGCCTTCGCCCTGCTCCTTTTCCATTGAGAGCATTTTAGGACTGGATCAGAAGAAAGACTGCGTTCCATCAGTGAAACCCCACAGGCCCTGGGCAGACACTTGCGACTCCTCAGGTATGCCACAACTTTAATTGTAAACTCTTTTTAATTTCATTTGAGTTTTTAGTGTGTCCTTCGCTGCAGTTAGAATAGAAACTGTGGTGTCATTCAGTTACATAACTGAAGCATCTAGCACTTGTAATGCCTCCAGCTACGTTCTGTGGGATAGAATGTGTGCCTCTGAGTGGGTATAAGTTCACTCAGGAAATGCCAAGAATCTACATTTACTTCAAAAGATCTCTTTCCATGCATATTTGGCACTCAGTTGTTCTAAATTCATTTTCACTGACAAATAAATGTTCTCCATTGCCAAGGCAGGATCTTCATTTTGTTTGGCTTTTGGATTGATGAGGGCAGTTCTTTTGAGAAACCCAGAAGGATTCCACTAAGAAACTTAAAAACAAGTTACTGAAATTATTTCTTAGAGAACTCTGTAGGATACAGAATTGACAATCTAAGAGAGGGTCTTTTCTGATTTTAGGGAAAGATGGTAACCTGTGCCCACATGTCCCGAGTTTTCCCAGTGGGATCTCCTTTCCTTGTATGATGGACCACCCAAGGCCAGAAGAAAAAGCTTGGAAATTTGAAAATTGCTTGTCAGCCTCGGAAAGACTATCTTTGAAAAAAGAGATGAGTTGGTACAGAGGCAGGAGACCAAGAACTGCTTTCACCCCAAACCAGGTGGGAAGATTTTTTCATGCAGTAATGATAATACAAAGGCTTTAACTGACACCCTGTTGAGCACAAGCCTATTCAACTGGGGTCCCAGTTTAGAACCCTTTTAATTAGAACAATGGACTATCATTCTGGATAGTCACTTTTTTAAAAAGGCAGATTAATTGCCCAAGGTTTAAATACAATTTTTGTTATACAGATTAAAGCCCATTTTTATATGGACTATCAACACTTTGAAAAGTATTTCCTTATTCTAGGTTGAAGTATTGGAAAATGTCTTTAGAGTAAACTGCTATCCTGGCATCGATATCAGAGAAGACTTAGCTCAAAAACTGAATTTAGAGGAAGACAGAATCCAGGTAACTTTCAAATTTAGTTGATATTTATGATGCTTGAACTGGTAAGAATAATAAAATGTTTCTGATACTTATTTTATTTTTCCTTAATTTTAGATTTGGTTCCAAAATCGGCGTGCAAAGCTGAAAAGGTCCCATAGAGAATCACAGTTTCTAATGGCAAAAAAAAATTTCAACACAAATCTCCTGGAATAGAGAAAGCTAAACATGTGAAATTATTTTCCAGTCATAGAACATGGAGGATCGATGGAAATAGCAAGTGTTCAAAATATGAGGTTTTCCTTCCTGCAATTAATCTGAATATTGTCTTTTAAAAAATATGTTGTAAATAATTGTGATTATAGCATGTTATATATCATATTTGGGCACTTTTCAGTTACAATAAAAAAACTTTTCCTATATATTTTAAGAAATGTTTTCAGAAAAAATAGCTATTTTTTAACTGAGCAAAGTTAATCTTAATAAATTAGTGTACTAAAATCAGTCAACTCATGACTAAGTGATTCCACAAGCTAGATTCCATTTACAAATTATTTCAAGTAAAATAATCCAAAAATTAAGGGCATAATTTATTTCAGTTAGTTTCCTTCAAACATATTTTCAAATGTGATTATACTTGACTATATTATAGAATATGACTTATTTGTGAATTTCTAGCTTCTCTTGATCTACAGCATTAAGCAGTAAGAATTTCTCATCATGTATCAGAATGAATCCTTACTGTGTGCCAGTTTCTGTTTGATTCTTTCAAAGGGAAGTCAAAGTAGAAATAGAAAAGCCTCAGCTCTCACACCCATACCATTAGTACTGTAGCACACAGAAGAACTAAGCTGCAAATCAATACAAATATTTAAGTAGTTTTCTAGTTCATTATGTTGTGCTCAACTCTCATTCCTTTATGTGATATTGATCATCTGGATTATATCTATTTCTAGTTTAATGTCTTCCAGTCTACTGTACATTTTGTTGCCATGTTGTGTTAACGGAAAAGGTGGTATAACTGACCTGCCTTTTCTATGTGCTCTAACACAGTCACAGAAAACAGGGAGCTGCTTCTTCTCTTCCCTCACCTGGCAGAATGGGTGACTCCCCTTCCCTCAATAAAGATATTTTTACTTCAAACACCCCCCCCGCCCCCCAAAAATAAAAGAAAGAAAGAAAATAGTCGGGGAACTTTCTAAGCAACAAAACAACTTTCCCATTGTACCTGCCACATAACATGGGTTGGAAGGGAGTCTTCTCCACTGTAAGGAAATCTGGGTATTTATTTTTTAGTTAATGGAAAATCCAACTGTGGGGGAGGGCTGGGATGTAGCTCGGTGGTACAGCGCTTGCCTAGCATGCGTGAGGCCCTGGGTTCGATCCCAGCACCAAAAAAGAAAAGACAAAAAAAAAAAAAAAAAAAAAAAAAAAACCTCTCCCCAACTGTGGGGGAAAGGAGAGGTGTTTGTTGGTTGGTTTTACTGATGTTACCTTGAGGACTCTGTCCAGTGAAAGCCATACTTCAACTTTCTCCATTTGAGTTAAATTTTCCCTTGCTTTCCTTTTCTTTCTTCCCTAATCCTCTGTCCTTCTTCTCTCCCAATATTGATCAGAGCAAAGGTTCTCTTGGAATTATTAATTCTATGACCACTACACATTTCTCTGGAATTTTGTTCCTTTTTCTTTAAACTACAGAAAGTTTGTCTTTTATTTCCAAAGAAAAGCAGCCTACCTTGGAATTGAGAGTTTTTTAAAATCATTTACCGAGAGCACATTTACTTGGGGTAGAGAGCTCTGTGTCCCAACCACCTGACAGTTTCACTGTTGCAGAGATAGAGAAAGAGAAGCAGGACCACAAGGCAAAAGCAAGGCCAATCTTCTAAGGAAGACTGGGTCACTTTTTTCCAGTCTAAAGAGCTGTTTCCCTTAGTTATAAAATTGGAGCACTCTATGCATTATGTTAGTCAAAACTTACCTACCAGGAGCTTTCTTTGCTCTTTATTAGGTTCCTATGAAATCGTTACGTTAGAGGACTGGAAATTACCAGGAAAAGGCCTTAGCAGAGTGGTTTGGGAGGGGAGGGAATGTCTTTTATTTTAATCCCCAAAATAATTTATATATCGTACACAATTTAAGCACTATAGAAGTAAAATCTCTCTCAAACTTTATCCTTCAGAGATAACCATTCATTATTAAATATTTTATAGATCTTTGTGTGTGTGTGTGTGTGTGTGTGTGTGTGTGTGTGTGTGTGTGTGTGTGTATACCTATGTATGTATATACTTGCTGGGTCTATTTTTTTTTTTTTTTTTTTTTGAGGTACTGGGGCTTGAACTCAAGGCCTTCTCCTTGAGCCACTCCTCCGCCAGCCTTATTTTTATGAAGGGTTTTTCAAGGTAAGTCTTCGTGGAATATTTGCCTAGGCTGGCTTCGAACGGCAATCCTCCTGCTCTCTGCCTTCTGAGTAGCTAGGATTACAGGCGTGAGTCACCGGCACCCAGCTATACTTGCTGTTTTGCTATTTTTTTTTAATATGATCACAACTCACAAGCTGTTCTACATCTTTCTAATATCTTCCCATGTCAGAGTTATAGCATTTTTTCCTCAGTGTCTGCTCAGTTTATGATAAGATTTCAAGTCTTGCACAGAACAAGAAACTATAAAATAAATATTAATATTTGGGTATTTTCAAAGTAGTGCTTTTTACAAATTAGGATTTCAAAGAGAAATCATGGTTTGTCTGGAATGTATCTAGAGTTAAACCTAACCCCCAAATTCCCTGAGGAGTGTTAGGAGTTTGTAAAAAAAATTACAGAATTTAGAAAAAAAGAAAAACATCAAAGACATTGATCAATAGCCAATCACTTATTTTTTCAATTTATTAAAACTGATCATACATATAAAAAGTCTGGTGAGGAAAGAAACAGTATCTCCACAATTCTCTCAGTATTTTCCAGCAGCAAATTTTGTTGCTGGGATTTGAACTCAGGGCTTCACATTTGCAAAGCAGGCACTCTACCTCTTGAGCAACACCTCCAGTCCATTTTACTCTGGTTATTGTGGAGATGGGGGTCTTATGAAATATTTGGCCTGGCTGACCTTGAGCTGCTACCCTCCATATCTCAGCCTCCCAAGTAGCTAGGATCATAGGTGTTCATTGTTGCATCCAGTAACAGTATCATGTAGCTGATTTATGTGGTCCTAAAATTCAACTTTATGTATAACTGAAGTTACATATTTATAATTGAAATACAATAGAAATAATACAATTAGCACTGGGTGTAGTGTGCTATGCTACACTGAGAGCATACCACTACTCATATTAGTAGAGTACTTACCTAGCCTGCACAGAGCCCTGAGTTCAATCCCCAGCACCACAAACACACACACAAAAAAATAGAGATACTATAATAACTGAACTATATTTGGAAGTCAGAAAAAATTGCTGGGAGCGTGGTTCAAGAGATAGAGTGCCTGCTTAGCAAGTGCAAGGCTGAGTTCAAACCCCCAGTACTTTAAAGAAGTCAGAAAAAATTAAAATAATACCAGAATTTGTAATGTTAAAGGAATAACCACAAATGTAACTTGTATATCTTTTTTTTATTTTTTAATACTAATAACAATTTGAGTTTTATTAAGACTTTTCTGAAGCAAGTTCATAATACATAATATTTAAAGAGCAAGATACTATCCAAGACAGCTATTTCCCCAGAAATCATTTTAAAATCCTAAAAGGCAAAGTCTGATCTCATTAAAGGAAATCGTGAGTCATTAACATTTTGGAATTACAATTGCTAATAATTTGGAGAGAACAGGATGACATTCAGAGAAAAATGGGACTTTAACTTTGAGAAAAATCAAGCAAAGTGAAAATGGAGAGGAAAACCTAAGAGAGAATTCTCTTTCCCTCTAAACACACAGGCTGTAATCCACAGCTTATCTGTGCTCCTGGTAATTCCAGCCTTTGTCTCCATTAATGCCCAGGACCAGGTGAACAGTAGTAACAAATCAAACTGATGCAGTCAGGCTAATACCTGGAGGTCTGTATTATCTGATGTCTGCCTCAATAAGGTTATTTAGTCTCCCATAATGGTATTTGTCTCTTGTGAAGCCAGTCGGACAAAGCCCATCACTAAAGAGTTTTGGAAACAATGGCTGTGTGTGCTGGTGGTCAACTTTTGAGTTAATCAGTGTTAATGGCTGTTGCACCAGCATGCATCTTACCACACCATGGCATAAATCTCCCATTACCAAACCCAGCACACAGCACCATAAACTGGGGTCTGGGTGCCTACGTCCAAGTCAGGGAACCATGAAGCTAGCCTTTGTTTATTTTGATGTGAGAAACAAATCACTATGACTTGCTGACTCCATTTCACTGAGACCCACCAGTATAAAAACTTCTCCCAGTGCCTTTGGCTTAATTTAGTGTTCAATTTTTATACCCCTGTCTTGTTGCACTAGTCCACAACAGTCAAGGCAGCTCTTCATGGCTCTCACCACTTGACACCCTGTTAGACTTACCCTCTCCCATTTTCCTCTCTTATTTGCTTACTTGAAATCCTTTTCCTTTTCCCCTGCTAATTAGCCTTGGCAAGCATGTTGGTGTCAACAGGCTTTATTGAGTCCCACAAATGAACTTTCCAGACTATTGTATACCTCTGTCTCCTTCCTGTGAAATCACCACCATATAGGAACCTAGTGTCTGTTCTCTTCCTCCAGGTCTCCTAGGATTGGCATTTTATGACAAGATAATTTCAGTGGAAAAAATGGCACCATAGTTTATTGTCCTAGTGTTCTGTTTGCCACATCAAAAACTTGCAAATAACCATGTACCTCCATAACTGCTGCCATTTTAGTCTAAGAAACCTGTAGCAGATCTGAACCAGAGGCTGTGGTGTGAAGCCAAGGCCACCCATACTGGCTTTCTCTGCTAAACCCCAGGTGACCCACGGACCTGCGGATGAGTTTTCAACCTCAATTTAAGGGCCTATAAAATAGCTTTGTTGCAGCTATACAAGGTACTACACTTTCTCTTTTTGATGGGTACTAGTTTTTATATCATAAAACATCGATTACCGTATTTTGATTCTTAACATTTGCCTTTCAATTTGATGACTTGCATACAGAAATTTAAATATTTTTAGCTTTCAGTTCTTTCCTTCATGATTTTTTTCCCACTGCATTATCCAACATCTTTCCTACTTTGTTTTGCTTTTTTTTTTTTTTTTCCTGGCAGTACTAGTGTTTGAACTCAGGGCTTTGCACT